AAAAATCAGAGCCTAGCCCAGTATACTACTGTGCTTACCTACTTTCCTCTAACACAAGCACCCACTAGGTACACAGCAGACAGGCAGAGCATGCAAGGAACTGCTAGAACACAAATATAAAACTCACATTACGCATTAAGAACTACAACCCCTAAAATTACACAACCGTCTACAAATTATACTGATTGTATAATTTCCTCCAGATTCTTCTGCCACTTCTCTGGCCTGTACTCCCTGTTAACTCTACCTTGGCTTATAGGAAATGCAGCACAGAGTAACTCACTGGCTGACTACTGAAACATGGAGGTGACAATTTACATCTACCCAGGCACTCTAAGGGTACACTAGTTGAAGGTGTAAAAAGACCATAATCACTCAACCGAACCACAAGAGGCATTCTGAAGAATCTGGAAAGCTAAGAAACTTCCAACCCAAAGACTGGTTGACTATGCGACAAGATGAGGCACGACGGTGGTGCATACCTATAATCCCAGCACACAGGAGGCTGAGGCAGGAGGATTGCCGTGAGTTCTAAACCAGCCTGGGCTAGAATGAGACCTTATCACAAAAAAAACAAAAAACACTCACAAAAACAACAAGAATATTTTTTCAGTCAGGTTTATGAGCGCACCTTTACCCACACCACAATAATATGAGATAATCTCTGTCCTCAGGAAGTTTATGATCCAGGTAGGGAAACAAAAGCAACACACGTCAACAATACAGCACTGTAATCCAGAAATGGAGCTCATACAGGCAGTCAGAAACACAAGGGACAAAGTCACAGAAGTTTGAGAAAATGAGCTAAAGAGATAAGGTGAAGTTTGCCTTTAAATCCTGTGGCTACTAGGTTACTCTGTCCATAGTGGGTACTTGTTTGATTTAAATGAGGGAAGAGTGTGTATCAGGTTGGCAAAAGCAAGAAACAACTTAATGAAAACCAACAAGAAGGTTGCTGTTTTGAATTGATTGAATTACCTCTGCAAACATGGAAAAATTGAGGCGACTTGTGTCACATTGGCTCGAAGATCCCTGCCCATCCACTTGAAAGGAAATTTTTTAAAAATTCCCTAGATTCTGTAAACAACACACAAGGACCAAAATTCAGAAATGTTTTTCCCTGTTGGGCGTGGCTCATACCAGTAATCCCAGCACTTGGGAGACTGAGGCAGAAAGATTGCCTTAAATTCAAGACCAGCCTGAGCCACACAGCCTGTCTTAAAAGAAAACAAAAAAAAAACATGCAATGTCTTTCCTTAATTGTAATCTGACAGAAAAGTCAAATGCTACCAGGCATGGTGGCACACGCCTGTGTAATCCCAACACTTAGGAGGCTAAGGGAGGACTGCCTCAAATTCAAGGCCAGCCTGAACTATGAATTGAGACCCTGACTCAAAAAAAATAAAGAAAGACAAATTCAGATGAAGTTTCTCCAGATATGATAAACAAGTTTATTCACTACGATATGTTTTAAAAAAAAAGTACCTCACATGTCGATGTAAAATTTTTAAAAAATGTAACAGTTAAATATGGGCTCAATTTCTACTACCAATCAAGCAACAAATTGTAAATGTAAAGTGCTATCCTTCACATCTTCAACCTACCTTACAAATGACAATGCCCACCACTAGTAAGAAGCTGTACCTTTTTATATAACCTCAAAATAGCTAATATAATTTTCTAAACTGGGCATGGTAGTACCTGACTATAATCCCAGCACTCTGACAGGATGAGCCGGGAGGATCCCAAATTTGAGCCCAACCTAGGCAATTTACCAAGATTCTCACTTAAAAAACCAAAAAAATGCTGGGCATGGTGGTGCACGCCTGTAGTCCCAGCACTCAGTAGGCTGTAGTCCCTTGAATTTGGAGTTCAAGCCCAGCCTGAACTATACAACAACCTGTTTCAAAAAAACCAAAAGGAAAAAAAAAACAGAAAAAGGTCTGAGGATGTAGTTCAGCACAAAGGCCCTGGGTTCAATCCCCAGCGCACACACAAAAACCTTAGTGTAATTTCTTAAAACTAATAAACTGGGTCTGGTGGTCCATTCCTGTAATCCCAACACTTGCAGGAGGATCATCACCAAGAGTTCAAGGCCAGCCTGGGCTACACAGTGAGACCCTTTTCCAAAAAACACCCAAACCAAAAAAAAGTATCTTGGACTTATGTACCATTTTGGTTTTTTTCACAAGCATTATATACGCTAGTTTCCAAAATCATTCAAAAAGGTGTTAGAGGAATTACCGTACCCCACTACACAAGTAAAATAAATGAACACCAGATAGGTCCAGTGACCAGCTCAAGGTCACACAAGTACTTACTGGCAGTGAATGATCTTGCAACCTAGTGCTGGGTCTTCACTAGAAAGATGTCCTTAAAACTTTAGGATCCGAATACCTTATCCAGATAAGGAATCTTCGAAGTTAGAATGGAAAATTAAACATTACTCCAAATTTACTTTGCTGCACAAAAGCAATGATTTTATCCTGGTATACTAAACATATATTTTATCCTGTCCATTTTTAAAGTCTGAAAATTTTACTACAGCACCTTCTGGAACTCTAAATGCCAAAAGAATTTTCAAACTTTCAGAAAGTAAATGAAAAAAAAACGAGAGCAAAACGCCTGATCACAGATATATGCTAAATAGTGTATGTCAGCTGAGCAGACTTAAAAACTACTCACATGCCTAAAAACCGGAGAGCAGATGGAAACAATGATAGTCTTAATTACAGTTCTGCAATTCTTATTATATTGGTACCTTAATAGAAAGGCAGACATATACAAAGCCCATACAGCCCAACCATGTTAATGTGCTCTCCTAGGTTTAAAATAAATGAAGGAAAAACTCTCAAATCTACCAAAGGTGACAGGAACCCACACCAGTTTAGTATTTCAGGCACTGAATATGAAGCAGAGGATGAATCAGAAATTGTGTTTACTCTAAAATTTACACTTAATACTGATCTGCTTGCATGCTGTATCATGAAAATAAACCGTGGTAAAACTCCCTGCAGTTCACTGGTCTCTAAATCTCTGATAACTGTGCTCCTCAAACCTAACTGTTCCCTCTCCACCCGTGTAAAGGCGACACACACACAAGGCCTCATATACAGGCCTCTAGCTTTTTTTTTTCCCCTAACACAACTAGGACCTTTGTTCCCAGCGTCGGTTTTTTATCCCACTCAATAGCTCTTTCAACTTTCTCCACTACGCATTTTGTTTTGTTTTGTTTTTGTTTTTAAATTAGAGATTCTGAGCCTCAACTTGCCAGGTCTTCAAATGAAACGCCGAAAATACCTAATGAGACTCTCGAGAGGAACAGAAAGTTAAACACAGCACTAAAGGGCCTACAAAACGGAGGAAAGCCTGGAGATCGGGTGATCTGGCAGCCGAGGGGAGATCCGGAGCGCCGACTAGGAAGGGAGACAGCTGGAGAGCAGTTAGACGTTCACCCCAACAGAACTACTACGCGCTCAACCGAACCCCCCGCCCCCGCCCCCCCACTAACCAAGCAAGCTCTGCCCTCCCCCCTCCCCGCCAGACTCGAAGGACAACGGCACTATCAAAAACAAATCTGCCTGCGGGGTCTGCCAGGGGCTCCTTCCCCTTCGCCCCTCGCCCCACAAGGGGAACCAGTTCCCTCCCGACCCCCGCCAGCAGTTCAAAGGTGTAAGTCGGCCCCGCCCGGACGTGTTTCTAAATGTTGACGAGTTTTCTCTCTTCTACCTAAGGAAGGATTTCTCTTGGTTCTGAGGAAGTGAGAGACACGGAAAAGCCGGGACTGGGGGGTTCCACAGCCTTCCTGACTTGAACTCCCCTTCGAACTTGTTTTCCGTCGTAGAACCCCGGAGGAGAGGGGTTGAACGGACGGGGCCGACGCTGTAACAGGTTTTATGTAATCCACGGATAAATAAACTCCTCGCCTGACTCGCTCTGAATGCTAATACGATCGGGGTGACAACGGGCCCACCCCCTCCCCCAAGCCCCAGCCCGCCTCCCCGTCCCCCAGTGCCCGTGCCGGCCTCTCCGGGAGGATGCTCGGCGCCGCCGGCCAAGTTTCCCGGCTGGCCGCCGTCCTCCCTCCGCCAGCGCCGCCCGGCCCGGCCCGGCCCGGCCCCGGCAGGAAGCCCCTTACCGCGGCCCAAGTCCCTCGGCCTCCCCCTCAGCCCCTCGCTGCCCACAACTGTTGTCACTCGAGCTGCTCCCTACTTTCCATTTCCGGGCCGTCCCCAGCCCGGAGCCTCCCCTCTCCCGGTTTCCGGGCCCCTCGTCCCATTTCCGGGGAACCCTCGCCGTCTTCACACCCCCCACCTGCACTTCCGGCCCCCCACTTCTCGCCTCCTAGACGCCCTCCAAGCTCCCAAGCCCACTTCCGGCCCCCCAGCCCCCGCCAGGCTCCTCGAGCCCCTCACACGCCTCACCCCGGTTCCCAGAAGGGCCCTCCGCATAGCGAGGGCCCGAGGGGGGAGCCGGTGACCCCGCGCCCCGCCGGCACGGTCCCCTCAGGCCGCGGCCAGCCTCGAGCGCCTCCCCGTCAAGCCCCGGCCGGTCCTTCCGCGGCCCC